AAAACATTCATAAATCACATTAGTATTTATTATAAATATTAAATATTCTTAATTTTTATAATAATATTAAGGCATTCTTTCTTTTATTTTATTTTATTTGTATTATTTCATTATTCCATTATTTATTTATCTATATTTTCTTTCATTTTTTTTAATTATTCTTTTTTTTTAATAAAAGTTTTAATTTTTTGAATTATTTATGTTTATTATTAATTCTCTTTTTAATTAAATCATTTGTTTGACAATATTATTAATATTCACAACTAAATAATCTAAAATTCCTAAAAGCATAATTAAATCAAAATTTAACTGGTTAAGCTATTTATTGACTTAATGAAAATAAATTAACTAATAACAATTAATTATCTAAAGTTGTTATAAGGTGTTGTTATAAGGTTGTTAGAAGTAATTACAATAATTTTAAAAAATATTATTTATTTTATTTTGAATAATGTCAAATAATTAATTGATCTTGCAGATTATCACAATTGTAATAAATTTTAAAATTGTATATTAATTTATTTTTACTAATAAATTCTTTATTTAGGTACTCGTCTAAATTAAATAATGTAATAAGATTATTGAAAATATTTTATTTATGTCAAAGTATGATAATTTTTTTCCCCAAGCATTACAAACAAAATCCTCAATAATTCCTTAAATTTGGAAGTTTTTTTTTTTATTATTATTATTTATTATTTATTTTTAAAATATTAATTCATTTAAAAAGCTAACTCTATTTATTCACTTTTTCATTACAAAATTTAATTTTGTCGATAAAATTTATAACACGTTTCCATTATTTTGTTTTCAAAATATTTATTTTTAACCGCTAATGCAAGTTTTTGAGTTAAAATGAAAATGTCGTATACCGATCCAAGGCCTTCTCGATCTTCTTAGGGGAGCTTTAAAGCTCGCATAGCTCACATGCCCTAGATTTTTAGGGTACCTCTTCTACTTTAATGTGAGCCGGGAGTAATTCAAAAAGCGAAAATTATTCGGACACAACAGAGTAATTACGTCTGGAAAAATTTTTGTACATAATTTGTTTAAAAAATATCCTTAAACTTTAAACTTTCTTAAAAAAAAAAAAAAATTCTTTGAATTTTAAAAAATCTCACCCATATTTTTTGAAAAAATAAATATATTTACTATTAATACTAGGTTTGAAAATATATTAACGAAATTTAAAGAGCAGACACCTTTAATCTCGGTAAAAAAAAAGAAGTAAAAAAAGATTGGACGGAAACCATCTACCATATTTCATAGATTATTTACGATTTTTTTTTCTAACAATTTAAATTTATTAATGTTATTTTAAAAGTTTATGAGTATTTTTTAAACGCTAACGTTAGTATATAAAAAAAATTATGATTATTTTTTAAAGAGGTATTTTAAATAAGGATAAATGTATTTTTGTTTTTTTTTTAAAAAAAATTAAAGGTATTGTTTTTATTATATTATTTAAATGTATTATTGAAATTTAAAAAAATGAAAAAGAATTATTGGAGACATAAATTATTTTATATTAATATTTAGTTTTTAATAAAGGAGGGTAAACAGCCAATGAGACGGCTTCTCACCCAAAAAAATCCCAAAACAAAAATGGTGTGTTAAACGGCTAACGGGGGATTTATTCAGAGGCAGGTCTGTGTCTAGTTTCTAGAACCTTCTCTCCCCTCTCCGAACTCAATCCGCCGTTGATCCCAATTGGTTTAGATCGTATCTTCAACCTTCCCCCCTTCCCGAGGAGAGATCATCCACCTGAAAACCAATGTGATCGTCGATCCTCTTCTTTTCAACCCTGCTTTGCATCAGAGCAAGGAGATTGCATTCATCGCGTTGCGGTTTTCGTGTTCCTCTGTTGGATCATCACTCTATTTGATGGTAATTTCAATCAAATCTCAAATCCTCTTCTTATGCCATCGTTCGGTTCTGTTCACTTACTGTTTCTCTCTCCGTTAAAGTTTTTTTTTTTTCCTCCGAAAATGGGGGAATTTAGCTTCTTCAACTCACGACACATTGTCATTGTGTTAGGCACAAAGCACTTCGAACTTGGTTTTGAACTGTGTACTCGATATTGTCGTACACACGCGCGGATAATCTTTTGTTTTTGTTTGGCCACTTGTTTATTTTTGTGTTTGGTACTGAATTGTTAGGGTTAGGATGGACCTGCCTTAGAAGTTTATCTAATGCGCAATAATTTAGATTAATCGAGATTTTTTTTTCTTCCGGTATTTTGCGGGAGCAGTGAAATGGACGGTATTCATGCGAGCGATGGACGGATGCATATGAACCATGCACAGCATTCGATGCACACGCAATCTGTGCAAGAGCAGGAACATCATGACTTTCATTACACGAGTAATGGGAATGCATTGGCTGATGAGCATGAAAATGAAGGTCATGGCATTATGGTTGTGGAAAGGGAAGCTCCATCTGACCATGGCGACCTTGCTGAGAATCGTGGTGTAATGGTGGATCGTGGAGGTGATAACTGTGATCAACTCACCCTGTCTTATCAGGGTCAAGTTTATGTTTTCGACACTGTCTCGCCCGAAAAGGTTATTCGTTCTTCTTTTCGTGCCCGTTTTTGCCGTAGCTGTATTAAATTAAAAACATTAAAGAGAATTTTTCAAGTAATATCCTGATGCTGGTACAACACAATGTTATTACCTTTTTGAGCTCTCTCCATAGTTGTTAATACTGAAAACATTGTTGAGTCAGATTGGTCCTTCGCAGTCCTAGTTTGATGTTGTGACTTAGTATCTTTCACTTTTCGTCGTGGCTGAGATATTTTAAATGAACACCGACATGTTTATCGATGTTACAGGTTTATGACTAAGTGGACATTTTGATTTTGGGCTTTATAGGCGATGAATGGGATGGGATAAGTGGGTAGTACCCTCTTTTGACTTGAGATGAGCTAAGAGCATCCTCCTTTTTTTTTTTTGCTCTGCCTGACATGGAGGATTCCAGGAATTATTAGTGCTAACCAATGAGGGTTTAAGTCGATTGAAGTATAGACTGAAATTTATTGATAATGGGTTATCCCCTAAATATGGTTGGAGACCTGACCCAGCTCAGTATATTTTTTGTTAGTATGGTGGATTCTTGTTTACCACTACTCAGGCTTAATATAAAATTCCTTCTACCATGTCTCTAATTTTAGTTTATTACTCCTTCAGCCATTTCTTAAGAACTCATCTCTTTTGAAACATGCTTTACAAATAACTTGCTGTTCTTTGAAGTGCTCTGATTGCCGTTGTCTAAGTTTAGCCTAATTCCAGTTAACAATTTCACATGTACCTATTAGTGCGTAAGTTAGCATATGTAGTTTGTTTTTTTATGGGTTCAATGGTTTCCCGTTTTCAAAATTATCTAAACAACTCCTTGTCAGGTTCAAGCCGTGTTATTATTATTGGGAGGTCGTGAAGTACCTATTCGTGTTCCCTCTATACCAATAACTAATCAACAAAATGATAGGGTATGTATTTATGCTTATCCACATTTTACCTGTATCTTATTGTGCTATCTATTGAAGAATGACGTGTTATCTCATATGTAGCATCTCACTGATGAAGCGTTTAACCAGGCACTTGCCAATATCCCCCCACGTCTAAGTGTCCCTCAGAGATTAGCTTCTTTGATTAGATTTCGTGAAAAGCGAAAGGAACGTAATTTTGACAAGAAAATTCGGTATACAGTTCGTAAAGAGGTAGCACTTAGGTATCTCACCTTCCTTTATTGTTGGTTTCCCTTTAAGTCATCTATTATATCACCTTCAATACGGTTATATTTTCCTCCACGAGTTGGGAGTTGATGCTGTATGTTCCTGTTATGAGGATAGTTTGATTTAAACATGGTTTTTCAGATGATGGTAGAAGCTGTTTAGTGCCACATAGTTTTGTTGAACTGGGGATTCAAACAATCCTAATGTGTAAAGTTTTGGCATCTTTATTTTTTTCTGCTGTTTTTTTTTTCCCATCTTGATAATTCCTCTCTTTTCACTGAATTAGAGAAGTTTTTTTTTTTGTCTTTGACAACATTTCCTCTCTACATGTTAAGTTTCATTATGCCTATTTATGAGAATTAAAGAGGGATTTAGGGGCTGTAAACAGGTTTAGGTAGGATCTTGGAATTAGTCTCAAAGTTGCGTCAAATATCCAGTGTTGTACTGAGGGTTGCTAGTTGTTATTCAGTTGGTGTTTTTTCTATTCTCTCTAATTTTTTAGAAGATATTTTGTTACAGATTGCGCATCTAGCCTACTAATTTACGGATTCAATGAATATAAGTGCAACCAAAAGCTTCGGGCCACTAATCTGTAGTTTCATACTTGCTGACCAAATGGCATTTTTTGTCCATATGCTGATGAAATTGTTAAGTACATATGCTGATGTATATCCTTTTTTGTGAATTTCATACAATGAAATTGTTTCTTATTAAAGAAAAACAAAAAATATACATGCACACATGTACGTTTTCTTCTTGTACATGGTTAGGTTAATAAAAGACTAGCAAGTTCAAAAAGATCAATGAGTTTATATTTATTGATTCCATCCCACTGTTCTTTCCCTTGTAGGATGCAACGTAATAAAGGCCAGTTCACATCCTCTAAACCAACTCATGAAGATTCATCATTGGCCATAACAAGTTGGGAATCAAATGAGAATTGGGCTACCGATGGAAATGGTTCCCAACAACAAGAAATTCTGTTAGTTTTTATTTATGATTTTCAGATTAATTACTATTTAAAGAGTCATGCTTATTGCTTTATTGATTGATTCACACTTTTAATTTCACTGGCCTGTAGCTGCCGACATTGTGGCATTAGTGAGAAGTCAACACCAATGATGCGACGTGGACCTGATGGGCCAAGAACCCTTTGCAATGCTTGCGGACTTATGTGGGCAAACAAGGTAACAGACATCAACTTCGTTTTTCTTTCCCAAAAAGAAAAAAAAAAAAAAAAAAAAAAANTTTTCTTTCCCAAAAAAAAAAAAAAAAAAAAAAAAAAGAGAAAGAACGAAAGAAAAAGGTAACAGGAATCAACATCTTTTTATTTAAAGGCATCTTTCTTTAAAAACGTGTAATTGTATTATGTCATGTCTTAAGCTTAAAGGATCATCTCAACTTTAGTAAATTGGAGATCTTGGATATAACTGTAGCTGAATTATATATTGATCTCTAGGCGTCTGACATTCATTGCAAGCATGGCCAATAATCCACTGCTTATTTCAGTCTTCTCCTCAATGACAAACCTAGTCCTCCTTTTTCTGGGCTCCTATGACCTTGAAAGTTGAGAATATGCTCCAAAACTGGAGGAATTCCACTATATCTAAAGTAGGAAGCCTCAACCATATACAAGGCATGACCATTATTGCCGATCCCTGTTTGTTATTTGTCCCTTTTCTCCAGTCCTGAGGCGATGATCAATCTGGAGAAGTTTTGAAGAATGTTTCTTTGTGAAGGTCATAAGAAAAAATGTGGCTTTTGTTAAGCTAACTGGAAAAGGGTTCTCTATCCTGTGAAGGAAGGGAGCTAGGCATTGGTAATTTTACATAACGAAACAGCTGTCTTCTTACAAATTGGAACTGGAGATGTTGCCAAGAGAAAAAGGCTCTATGGATGAAAATCATGCGGGCTAAATTTTGAAATACTCATCTTGGTTCTTGGCTGAGAGTACTTTCTCTCTTTACTATCATAAAGAGCCTTGGAAATAGTATTATCAAGCACGAGAATCTTGTCTATTCTAGAATCAAAACCACCGGCAATAATTCTTCCACATTCTTTTGGGAGGGAGAATTTGTAGATTGCGGATTTCCCCTTAGCTGTGGTTGCCCTGGAATCTTCTCTTCTGCTACCTTAAAGGATCGTTGGAAGGATTTATGGTGTTCCTCATCCAACTCTTAGAGTCTCGGTGTAAGATCTTTGAATGGGCATCCTTATCTGCTTGCTCTCTGGTTTTCATTCAATCAGCTGGGCATATCAAGGATATGCCCTCCAGATCCACGTGGGACATTTCTGATTGTCGTCTCTTTGCTGATTGGGTCAATAAAGGTAGTAGGGAGAGCCCTCCTCCGCAAAAGTCATATGGCATGATAAATATCCAAAAAAGTTGAAGCTCTTCATGTGGTGTTCTCTATGAGCCTCATCCACAGCCTAACACCGGCCTTTCCTCTCAGATTTGTGTTGTAGAAAAGATAGACCAACAATAATCTCTTTCAATATGAAAATATCAATTGCTTCATTTTGCAATGCCATTGGGCTTATTCCTCTTTATCGGATTCAGGCACCTATGGTGCTTCCTGGTTTAAACAATACTTGGTTCAAGTATCATGGGGTAGTAATCCTTTCAAAGGAAGATGCAAGATTTTAAGGTGAATGCTGGTTAAGCTCTTCTTTGGGTGGTATTAAAGAATTTTTTGAAATAAAGTAAAAAAGTGGTGGAAAAATAGAAATATTTAGGGGGGGTCTTTTCCACTATCTATTTTAGGTTTTCTTTCATAATAGGTGTAGAAACCTGTAAAACTTGGAAGTCATTAACGATGGTGGTGTCTTGACAATTTTCTAGGTTCTCTTCTGTTGGTAGAAAGGCTCTTCTGTACCTATGGCAGGTGTCTTATTTCTCCACTTCTCCTGTGTTGGAGCTTTAACAGAATTGTTATAGGAAAAATAAGTGTGGTCAGACGTCAGCATCCTATGCCCACGACTCTGAAAATGATATGCTGCATTTGCTTTCCGGCATAGAAATTCTTTTCTTGAAGGCTGTTAGGTAGTGAACAGCCCTCATGTTTTCATTTCCGTTCCTTCTAATTTGTATCGCTGTGGATTGTAAGGGAACTCTGCGGGACCTCTCAAAAGCACCAAACCAGGGTGGACAAGCTTCATCATTCAGTAGAAATGAGGTGAGCCGTAGATTATGTTGTCTTTTTCTTAACTATGCTTTTTGTAGTTGAAATTCCTGCTGTCCTCACTGGCCCTTCACGTCAACTATTCTATTATGTTTTAGAATGTTGTGCAGAATGGAGACTCGGAGTCCAACCCAAAAGGTGCTTAGAATTGAGACAGATGTTTATGATTGCTGTTGCGGAAATTATACTGAGCTTAATCTCTCCTTACAGAGTAGTTTGAAACGGGTTAGTCTAATGGCTAAGAATCAGGATTCACACCCGCGACAGAGAGGCCCTTATAGATTCTTTTCTGGCCAATTCATCTTGGAAACAAGGGTACCGTGCACGTGCACTAATTTTATTAGCTTTTCCTTCATATTCTGAACCATTTTCCAAATGTCAATTCCCAGAATCTTGTAAATTATCATTTGCTGCTGATGATGTACAATGGACGGTTTTTTCTTAATCCATCTTATTTTTGTCCAGTATTGTCTCTTGCACAGGTTTCTATCCCTTTGTACAGAGTCACTCCAATGGCTGACACTAGTGTTCGGGTTGAACCGAATCTGATCTGAATAATGCAAAATTTGACTACGAAAACAGGAGTCTCTGAGTCTAACAACACGAGGCTACAAAATAAGATGCTCACATAAACTCATCTACTTAATTTATCTATTTCTTTATGATTTTCTACATTGTGCACTTCTCGCAATGGCAGCTGAGAAACATGTTTGGAATGAGGTAAAATGGATGTAAACTGTTATCTCAAATTGGAAAGCACCCTTAACCCCACGGTATGTTTTGGTTTACATCCATTTGCTTAACCCCCATAAAACTTGAGACAAAATTCAAGTAATTTTTTGCGCTCTGTTTTAGGCTTTTAGGGTCATCAGGATTGTGTCTTCCCGCACAAGATGAAGGCGTGGACAAGTCTCTGAGCTGCACGAATCTGATCTGGTGTGCCGGACACGACCACTTTACCATCAAATATCCCAGGTTTAGCATCATGAACCACCACCATTGCCCCTGATATCTGCCACAGTAACACACAACACAAAACACATTATAAAGGCAAAAAACACTATGTGCTGCCCAACTTTGGTGCTCCACTAACCTGCTGAACATGAGCAATGTTGGCATTGTTCTCTCCATAGATATGGCAGATTAAAGTTTGTGGAATCACCATCTCCATAGATGTACCTCCCACAAAATGAGGTGGACCCCCGCTGTTCATAGAAAATCCATATACAGACTGTAACGAAAACTATTAAATAAACCCTTAAAACATGTAGGCCGAGTACAGTTTCAAGATGCAATCTGGAAGAAAATTTGAAGATTTAAAGAAAGGTTGGTTACCTGCTGTAGGACTCATTCCTTGAAGCCATGCCAAAACCAACATCAGTTGTTGGTCCCTTGGGTATGTCATTACTAGCCTGAACGTAATCCAACAAACAAACAAGAAAAGATGTTTTCCAGTCAGTCAGTTCGCCACGACAAAGAAACTAGGGTTCTTGAAGGTTCGAGCAATGACCTGAGAAGTCCACGATCTAGGGGAAGGTCTCTCAATAGAACCTGGCCCTGGTCTATCAATGCCATGGGGATATGGAACTCCATCCATATTATTACCACTGAAGCTCATACCATGAGAATATGCAGGCTGATGATCAAGTGGGTGGGAATGGAAAGGAAGACGTTGAGCTCCAGCTTGAGAAGGATAGTATCCAGGGGAATGTGCATTATTTCCCGGCCTAAATACGGGAGGTGTTTCCGGGTGAGGAGACAAGTAAGATGGAGCATTGAAGTTCGGCACATGTGGTCTCATTGGGAATAAAGTATCTCTAAGGCGATTTGTTATATGAAACAGAGCATCCTGTACACACTGCAAATTTCCGATGACCTGCCATGAACATTAGCCCAAATCTTTCAACACAAAATTGGACTATCAATCATGTAGTTCTTACATGTAAAGGAAGATAGGATTCATCATACTATGATTCTTATTTTTAAGAAAAAGCATTCATGCTAGAATATGCGTATCTTAACTATCATATAGGCCATCAAATGGCCAAGTAACATTCGGTATCTATACGTATCACCATGAACCAATTTGTCCCTGCAGCATTTTTATGAATAGGAAAGAACCAAACAGACTCCATAAAAAGGAAACTACAAGATGATCACTTCCAAGATCATATATTTATCAGCAAGAAAGGTTGTACAGCAAACTTGGGAAGGTAATAGTTCGTACTAAGGAAACAAGCACGGTCGGTCACGTTATAAGATGTGAATTACCTGTACTATTTCGTCGTTCACAGGCCCGCTGTTTTGAATTTGCTCCCGGGGAAATATCTGAATGCTAGTACCAGTCCCTCTTCTCATTTCATTAATAATATGCCCTCCTCTACCCACCAAATAGCCTATCTGTTGTGCATGTACAAGTAGTCTAGCAACAACTGCAGCACCTGGTTCGTACCCAAGTTCTGCAATTCGACCATGGACACGCATAACAGCCTCTTGTGCAGGAGAATATGTTTGTTCCAAACTCTGAGATGAAATCAACAAGGAATAATTTGAACAAGTATAATACAGTTGTTTAGATACAATGCTAGAATCAAGATTCCTATTCAAGGAAAAGAGGGCTTCAAAGATCCAAAAAGTTATGTAAAATATATATAACTAATGCATGATTATGCCAACCTTCGATATAGATGTTAGGTCTCAATTGATTTAATGGCATAATCATGTTGGCATAGATGTTAGGTCACCATATTCTGTTGTGCTCTAATTCAGGAGGACGAGGATCACGAACTCGAGTGGTAAGTGCGGGTTACAAAAGCAGCAATAATCCACAGAAAAAATGCTAATCCTAAGAGCTCCATCCTCTGACAATAACAAATGAGAAACTAAGCCTTTATGCATTTCAATTTCCACATTCAAAATAAATGTACAAGTATGTGCAAGTCAATCAAGGGAAAAACTAAGATTTTCACCACATTTCTAATCAATAGGGTTTTAGGTTTAGGAGGTGATTTTGAGTTCTCCCTCCAAGGAGAAGAGTACAGTTGCATGGTAGGCTAGCTTCTTTGCATGGAAAATTTAGATTGAGAGGTATAATAGAAACTTAAGAGGGATGGAGAGATCTGATGAGGACGTTTGGGAGATGGCTCGGCTTAACGAACACCTCCTTATGGGCGTCGGTCACTCGGTCTTTTTGTACTTATGAGCTTCAGTCTTTTTCTTTTGAATTGGAACCATTTTCTATATTAGTTCGTGATCCTTGTCCTCCTGCATTAGAGCATAACAGAAAGACTTGAGAAAGCAGTTCAGAGGAGGAATTCAGTTCAACCTATTAGCTCAAATTGTGCCTGATGGGCATAGGTGGAATGCCTTAGAAACCATTGTCCATTTGATCAATGGACCTCCAACAACTCTAGAAGGAAAATCTCCAATTTAAGTACCTAGGGCTTGTTCCAATGTGCATGTTCAAAACCTTTGGCTGTACATATTTTCCTTGCCTTCATCAGATTCACAAATTTCACTTATTCATAGGTAACATTCTAAGCCCAACGCTAGCAGATATTGTCCGCTTTGGCCTGTTACGTATCGCCATCAACCTCACGATTTTAAAACGCATCTATTAGTGGGAGATTTCCACACCCTTATAAGGAATGCTTCGTTCCCCTCTCCAACCGATATGGGATCTAACAATTCGCCCCAAATTCCCCTCTTCAACCGAGGTGAGATCTAACATCAAGTGCCTACAGTCTAAAAGTAAAGTCAATAATTTGAGACAGGTAGTTTCCCACAAGGAAAACTCCCCTTTCGAGGAGAGAATTTAGGCCACCCTTTGAGAAATCTAAAGAAGAAATAAAACCACAGGCCCTAAAAGAAACCTGAAAGAGAAAAAAGGAATAAACATCGACCAACAGATCAAACCAAAAATTGCTTGAACTCCAGAAGAACCAGAACTCCATTTCTTACTCTTTCTTACTCTTTTTCTCTATTCTAACTTCATCACACTACTCCATTACTCCCAAAAATCCTACTTTTAACTTCCTAATCTTCTGAGCATATTATTTAATTAGAGGAGTTGAGCTTTCACTGAGAAAGTATGAAAATTTACAAAGAACCAAAAAACAGCTTGAGAAAAACTGGAGCCCATTTCTTAACTCAGTGTTTGGACTTTTTTATTTTTTGTGGGTTTATTTTTTTGTATGTCCTTATACGTTCTTCCATTTTTCTCAATGAAAGCTCGGTTTCACGAAAGTATTGGTGGGATATCCTGTTCTTTTCCTTCTAGTCCATATGTTTTTCCCCTTCAACAACCAAAGGGTATAGAGACCAAGACAGCCCTAATTATGGGAGTAAGCTAAGGAAAGTGTTCTATTAACTCAAACAAGTTCTAAGATCTTGGTTTAGAACATTAATGAATACCTTTACTTCACTGAAGTAAGGCTTTCAATTTCCAAACCCAACCTCTCTCCTTGTTCCTAAAAGAAACATTGATTTTGCAGATAACTTGATCTGTGGAAGAAATTGGTAAGAACACGCTGATCAGAAGGAAGAGGATTCCATGCAAATCCCCATAACTACAATGTCTTGATCTTTTCTCATACGACCCAAAATAAAATGGAATAGGTAAATGAGTTTCACGGGCAAAAACACCATCGATCACAAAGGAAATTGAAGCTTCAACAAGATCATACCTCTCGTGCAGATATCATAACCACGCGTTCATCCAAGTCGGGGGTATCAACAATCTTTATAGATGCACCCGTTTCATTTTGCAACGCTCGTACTATGGTGCCACCTTTCCCAATTAGACTTCCAACTTTATCGGGTTGACACAATAATCTAAACACTACCTCCTCTTCCATAGCCGGCCTTGGACCAGCTCCAGCATTTTCGTGTCCTGGTATGGAAGAATAACCCCTTGAGCGATGATCTGCATTATGATGGCTAGCATATCTCCTCTTAGGAGAAGGTTCTTCGTCTAGTCCCGGCATACTACTTGCTTGGGACGGAGGCCCTAATGGTTTTGTGGTGGAGGAATTGCTCGAGTCCACCCTCGGGGTGTCCTGAAGACAGGCGGAAATAGAAGAAAGGGCCTTCTTCACCGCCGGAAACCTTCCTGATATCTGCAAAACACGTTGAAAAAATGATTGAAAAGATTGTAAGAAATGGAACTTTTGATTTCGAGTGCCGAAGAAATCAATGTGAATTACTTGAATTAACTCGTCCCGTGGCGACGCACACGCCGGGATTTGATCCTTGGGGAAAATTTTCACATGAGCCGTACTCTCCTGTCTGATCTTCTCTACGTTTTTTCCGCCTCTACCAAGCACGCGGCCTACCTGATGACTAGGCGCCAGCAGCCTACAGACCACTGATCCGTCAGTTTCTCCACCGCTAATCCTATCGCTTGGAGCAGAATCTGCATTTTTCTTCTGAATGTCTTGGTTTTCTCCACTATCCTCGTTCATCCTAACCATACTCTCAAAAGTTCGAAGCAGCGCCTGCTGCGCTTGCGACCGCTCGTCCAAATCTCCAGCAACCGCATCACTAGGGACGTTGCGACTGTTATCGTGCTCACGGAATTCCCTATCATTTCCTGGATTAGTGAGCGCCGGTTTGGATGGGGAGCCGGTGAGGATGACAATGACGCACTCGTCGCAAGAAGGAAGAGGATCATCGATATGGATCCTAGCGCCGGGAATATCGCAGAGATGGCGAAGAATGGAGGCGGCCTTAGAAGCTGGGCAAAGAAGGCGAAAGACGGTTTCGGAGGGAGACGAGGGTTTAAGAACAGGAGAATCTCTGGAGGTAGAGTTAAACCCTAATGTCGCCGGCGGTAACTGTCTTGGGCGGACAGAGCGGGCGGCGGAGAGGTTGGGGTCGGAAATGGCGTCGGAGGAACGTTTGGGGCTGAAACCGGTGTCCATGGATGGATTGGATTGTGAAACAGAGCGAAAACTGGGTTTTGTTTTCACCAATCCATAAGAATGTCGATTTATTATTATTATTATGTTTTATTGTTTCAAAATATAATAAATTGGAAACCAATAAATAGAGTTAAAAAAGAATTAAGGAAATATAATTAAAATAAGACAATTATTTATCTGCAATAAAACTGTGATTAAGTAACAAATTTTGGGATAAATTATCCACACCCCTGTGACTTAGATACCCATTTGAAAATTATCATAGTCTCTTCTCTTCACCAGTTCCAAAGACTCCTTCGGCGTCAACGTGTTCCAATGAAAGAGATCAGACAATTTCCTGATCTAGAACTGGGCACAAAATGCAGGTAGAAAGTTGAAAGCGAGCTCTTTTTGCTTATACACAATCTCGAAGCCCAATCAGCTCACAAACTGTCTCCTCAACCCTGGCGAGTACGAGAGCTTGATAAGAAAGAATGTCGAATGAGAAAGACATAAATAACATAAGAATACTTGTGTGGGATGAGACTTTTTATAACAAATTGAAAATAATATAAATAAGTAACTTAGATTTGTTTGTTTTTTTTTAACAACCATCTAACCTGAATTTTTAACCACTTGTTAACCACTTGGAACAATAGAGAGTAGATGTAGGGTCTAAAAAACTCCAACTCAATCAACTCAACACAACCAAATCAACTCACCGGATTCAGATCAACTCAACCCACCCGAACCCAACATGAAAATAGAGAGTCGGGTCTAGGGTCTAAAAAACTCCCTCAACCCAATCCAATGCAACCCAATCCAATGAACTTTTGGGTGAAATTTTTATGAGTGGAATGAAAAAGGATCAACTCACGGGTCTAGGGTCTAAAAAACTCCCTCAACCCAATCCATGAACTTTTGGGTGAAATTTTTATGAGTGGAATGAAAAAGGATCAACCAATCAACTCAACCCGAACCCAACTTGAAAATAGAGGGTCGGGTTCAGGGTCTAAAAAAACTCCCTCAACTCAATTAGATGAACTTTTGGGTGAAAAAATTTTGAGTGGGACCAAAGCTTTCGAGTAGAATGAGAGAGACCAAACAATGCTTTTATTCAACATTATTAGGGCATTATTATTAGATTAGTTAGTGTAGCATAGCATACCAACCCCCTCACTCATATATTAATTTCATAACCAAAAACTGGTTAGGTCATTGATGGGGGCAGAAAATCACACCTTTATACCCTTCCTTTGAATACATGATCTACTACCATTTCTATCATGTTTTTTAGTCTCAATTAAAACCAAATTAACCATAAAAATGAGACAAAAGAGAATCATTTTCACTTCCATTTCGATCTCTTTCTTTCCATGGGTAGAAACATAAGAAAGGAAACACACTACTCATAAACTAAAACATAAAAATAAAGGCAACACCACCAAAAATACAAACTCGGATCCATCCATCCATCCATCCATCCATCCATCCATCCATCCATCTTATTGCACAGATATATTAATAAGAATATCTCAGGTCTGAACCCTCAAAATACGAAGAACCCGGAAACTTTAAGGGGGAGGAAAAAAAATTACACATTATTAAATAAATGGCTAACCCAAAAGGAAAGGAGCGACCGCAGCAACGACCCAAACACCAAACATAATACATCATCAGAATATGCTACAAAAATTAAAGAACGAAAACACCAGAAAACACCTCGCCGAACCTTTCATTACATCAATCAATCAATCTACCGAGTTTCGTCCTCCAGAGCACGGAACCCATTTGTCAGATCTTCATGCAGCTTCTTGAACTTCTCAACCAGAGCTTCTTCTCCTTCAGCTGGATCCTCGAACTTCTGAGACCTGCAACACATTCCCCCCATATGTTTCTTTTTGTTTATCACAACCACCCGCAATTCAACTTCACAAACAAATCAACAATATTAGATTCTTTTTACTTACACGAGACGGTAGAACAGATCTCCCAACCGATGCTTAATCAAAGTGTATGTTATCCTTTGCCCATCCATACCCGCTCCCCTCTCTACTGCCTGCATACAACAGTATCCAATAGAAGTTACGAACACGCCTTACCCCTACGTCACGTTTAAACAATGACGGTCTGTTCGAAAAGTAACTACCTGATTAGCCAAATTGTAGAAATGAATGATATTGCGCATCATCCAGACCGACTTGTAGAAGGGGCAGAATTTATCGTACCTGTCACACCCACACAAATATGTTTTTAATAAAATCTAGATAATAGTGGTTCAACGTACCACCTATTGGTGATGTGGAGGGACCAGAACAAAGATTTAGCTAAGACTTACGGAGTAAATGCATTCTGAGCGAGATAGTCCTCCCTCAAAAGCTTTGCAGTCTCTAAGGTAATCTTATCTCCTTCGGCCAAGGCATCCTTCCCTACAAGCTGCCATAATCCAGATATCAGACAGAGTTCCATATTTATATTCTTAGTATTTTTGTTGTAGATAACAAATTTTACTAGAATAATATTATCCAACCCTGTAAACCTCGTCATCAGAAAACTTTATAGATCATTCATAAAATTCAGCATCAAATCTAAGTTTTCTACTTTTATTATCAGTAATTTTTTCTTCTTTAAGGTTGTGTGGGCGGGTGACTAGAGGAGGGAGACATACTTGGACAATTTCATTGAGGTCATCTTCCCTCTGAAGGACTTCACGAGCCTTCGTCCTGATGTTAATAAAATCTGGGTCAAACTTCTCGTAGAAAGATTCCAACGCCTAAAACAAAGATGTAAAGAGATCCATTACTCAGTGCACTGGTTTGAAAGATACAAAGAAAGCAAACACAAATACTGAGAGCTCCGCTAACATACGGTAGAGTATTTTGAGTAAGAAATTAGCCAGTTCACGGAAGGGAAGTGCTTCCTCTGAGCAAGCTTCTTATCTAGACCCCAGAAAACCTGCAAAGAAATTAAATAACTGTAATAATCACAGATAATAAAATAACGATAGGAGACACCTATGTAATAAAAAAAACTAGATTAGAATAGTCTAGAAAAACGTTCACCTGGACAATACTGAGGGTGGCAGATGTCACTGGATCTGAGAAATCTCCTCCAGGTGGAGAAACTGCACCGACAATGGTAACACTACCAGTCCGTTCTGGCCCACCAAGACATTTCACTTTACCAGCACGCTCATAGAAAGAGGCTAAACGTGCTGCTAGGTATGCAGGATATCCACTATCTGCTGGCATTTCTGCCTGAAAAATGAACATAGTCCAACAAGAATAAGGAACAGGATACCATTACACTTTCCTACTATATGTGCACTGGTATCTCATGAGTTCAATCTCAATGTAAATATTTTAATTTAACGATCAAATATTATAGCACAAAGAATCACAGAAACGAGTGTACATATATAAATTATACCACACCCTTCAGTCCATGTTACTTAAGTAAAAGTAATATTGAGATTAAAAAGGCTGGAAGTTAGGAAGTTCTAGTTGCTACTTATGAGATGGCAATTGATGAGAAAAACAAAGATAAAAATAGTGTACCACACAAATCAGTCTTAACTTATAAATAAACACCAAATAAATAATTTTCTAAGCAACTCCGTGTCCTAGAACATGTAAAGAGACAATGAGAAAATTAGAAAACAAGCTCCAGATATTTACCAGTCGTCCAGATATTTCACGTAGTGCTTCTGCCCATCGAGATGTAGAATCTGCCATCATGCTTACATTGTATCCCATATCTCTGAAGTATTCAGCCAAAGTAATTCCTGCACACATTAATAAATTATATAGTGGATATTGCAATCTAAAAAAAAATCTCAACCAGTCTTTACAAAACTTGAAAGAATAAGAGAAGGATCATAACATACGAAAAATTCAAATGTACATATCAATTGTAAGGGTATATAATTCATTCCATGATGTACTTAATGCAAAAAATTTAGCTGCCGCAAATCTCAAAGAACGAGTTCAGAAGAACGTATAGGAAATACAATATTGAGTCCATATAAAATGGAGAAACTTTTTTTTATAGTAAAATGAATATCAAGGTTCATCACAATAGCAGTGCCAAGGACAATAAGGCGACAACGATAAACTTGCACCAAGTAGATTAGAGTCGATCATTGTGGTTAACTTGCAGATTTCAATGGGAAAAGAGGAATCTTAGATAATTTTATAAAAATAAGCACAATTTTACCAGTATAAATTGAAGCTTCACGAGCAGCCACAGGCATATTAGAAGTGTTAGCCACAAGAGTGGTACGCTTCATGACAGATTCTTCACGACCATCAGGCAGTGTCATTGTCAATTGAGGAAAGTCCATAAGAACTTCAGCCATTTCGTTTCCTCTCTCTCCACAACCAACATACACCACAGTATCAGAATTTGAGTACTGCATGAAAAGTTCAGCAACACCAGTTGTTTTAACACCACAAAAGATCACGTCAAACCCTCAGAAAAAGACAAAGAACTTACTTTAGAGAGAGCTTGACTAATGACTGTTTTTCCACAACCAAATGCTCCTGGAATGGCACATGTTCCACCAAGAACAGAAGGGAAGAGTGCATCAAGAACACGCTGCACGTGAAAATCAAATACATAAATATAAAAAATATATATAAGTTATTAGAAATACACAGTTTCTACAAGCGAAAAAAATCAATGGTAAAGCAACCAACTATCTTATTCACCTGCCCAGTCAAAAGAGGGGTATCAGCTGCAAGCTTCGATGCAACTGGTCTAGGAGTACGGACAGGCCAATTCTTCACATGGATAGACAAGACACACGTACAAACATAAGAACTTATTGAATCATAGAAATGTGAAGGAATCGTAAATAAGACATTATTTTGAAACCTGAAGCATGGTAAATTGCTTTTTAACTCCTTGAAACTCAAGCTCTAAAACAGTATCCTGTAAAGAAGAAACTTTTAGATAAGAAGCAAGCATCTATAATGAACAGATAACAAAAATGACGGGAAAAAAAGAGAAGAAAAGACTCAGAACCTTCAATGAATATTGACCAGGTGGTGCAATATAGGTAATTTTCCCCATAGCATCAGGAGG